TGATATGAATTCAAAGTCCTCCTATTATATGTTGAAATAGAGAACAAAGTGGAGATTATATGAACTCCCCTCAAGAAACTTGTTGATATGGCTCATATATTGACAAAGGAATGAGGCAGGTTGATGCCTACGAGCGTACAGAGCGAACGTAGCGAGGGAAGCGGACGTGGACGTAGGCACATTTCCGAACCATGTAAATCTTGTGTTGTTTACTTTTCTCGTTTTTAATTCGTATGCCATATTGTCATCTTCACTCAACAAGTGGTACCAGAGCCTGGTTAATTAGGCGATGGAGATGACGGGAGGATCAAAATTCGAGGTCTCGAAATTTGATGGTCATGGCAATTTCGGATTATGGCAGACGAGAGTAAAAGTTTATTGGCCCAGCAAGGAATTCAGAAAGGGCTGCGCGCAGAAAAGCCAAAGGGGATGGAAGACGATGATTGGCAAGATCTGCAGGAACGGGCAGCCGAGACGATTTGGTTGTGCCTTGCAGATGAAGTTATGTATCACGTTATGCATCTCAAATCGGCGAATGAGATCTGGAAGAAACTGGAATTGTAGTTTATGTCAAAAACCCTAACGACAAAATTGAATTTGAAGAAGAGGTTATACGGGATGAAGATGCAGGAGGGGACCAATTTAGGGCAACATGTGAATATCTTCAATCAGGTTGTCACGGATTTGGCTTCACTTGAAGTCAAGATTGAAGATGAAGACAAGGCGATGATTTTACTGTGTTCGTTACCACCTTCTTACGAACATATGGTGACTACCCTTACATATGGGAAAGAAACGATCAAGACTGAAGAGATTACTTCAGCGTTGTTGGCTCACAACCAGCGGAAACAGAAATCTGAAGAGTCATCTTCTCAAAGTGACAATTTATATGTGAAGGGTAACCATGATCGTGGAAGAAAACAGGTGCGGGATAATTCAGGAAATCGGAATTTCATATCCAAGTCGCGAGACGAATCGAAAGGGAAGAAAACTGTGACGTGTTATAAGTGCAAGGAACAAGGGCACTTCAAACGGGATTGCCCAAAGTGGAAGAAACAGACTGCTGATATGTCATCCAAGTCTGCGAATGTGGTACAAAATGAGGAATCCGATTGCAGTGATGGAGATATGTTATGTATTTCGACTACGCAGTATGATGATGCCTGGATTCTCAATTCTGGATGTTCATATTATATAACGCCTAACAGAGAGTGTTTTGCTACTTATAAACCAGACAACTCAGGTTCTGTTTTTCTTGGTGATGATAGATGCTGCGATATTGTCGGTATTGGAGATGTCAAAATCAGGATGTATGATGGAACTGTTAGGACATTATGTGATGTGAGACATATCCCTGAGTTGAAGAAGAATTTGATTTCTTTGGGTACTTTGCATAGAAATGGTTTCATTCCCAAGGCTGATGAGGATAGGGAAACCATTAAGATTGTGAAGGGTGGTTTGACTGTGATGAAGGGGAGGATCACTACAGGGAACATTTACAAACTGTTGGGAAGTACAATTGTAGGTGGAGTCCATTCGGTGGAGTCATGTGAAGATAGCACGAAATTGTGGCACATGCGTCTTAGACATCTTAGTGAACATGGCATGACTGAACTGCATAAGAGGGGGCTTCTGTATGGTGTTAAAACTTGCAAACTCAATTTCTGCAAGTTTTGTGTTCTAGGAAAGCAGACAAAAGTCAGTTTCAAGACTGGGAAGAAGAAGACAAAAGGAATTCTGGATTATGTACATTCAGATGTGTGGGGTCCTACTAGAGTGACATCGATTAGTGGTTCTGTGTACTATGTGACCTTTATTGATGATTTTTCGAAGAAAGTTTGGGTGTATTTCATGAAGCTTAAATCTGAAGTGTTTGCTAAATTCAAGCTATGGAAGGCTGAGGTGGAGAACCAGACTGGTAGGAAAATCAAGTACTTAAGGTCTGATAATGGTACAGAGTACACCGATTCACAGTTCCAGAAGTTTTGTGAGGAGAATGGGATTCAAAGGCATTTTAAAGTGCGTAAAACACCACAGCAGAATGGTGTTTCTGAGAGGATGAATCGGACACTGGCTGAGAGAACGAGGTGCTTAAGACTGAATGCGGGTTTGCCAAAGAGTTTCTGGGCTGAGGCTAGAAGTATGGCTTGTTATTTAATTAACAAATCACCATGTGCATCTCTAGATGGCAAAGTTGCAGAAGAAGTATGGACAAGTAATGATGTTAGTTTTGATCATTTGAAGATTTTTGGTTGTCCTGCTTATGTTCATATTACTGCTGATGAGAGGTCAAAACTTGATGCTAAATCAAAGAAGTGCACTTTTCTGGGCTATAAGAAAGGTGTGAAGGGATACAAGTTTTGGGATCCAGTTGAGAAGAAGACGGTGATTTGTAGAGATGCAGTGTTTGATGAACAGTATATGTTGGGATCAGATGCAGATAAGGTACAAGTGGAGTTGGAACATGTGCCAACAGTTCTTGATAAGGGGGAGAGTTCGAGTTCTGCACCTGATGATGTTGATCATGATGTTTCTGGCCCAACTGATGTGCCAGAGAGCTACAAGTTAGCTCGGGATAGAGTGAGGCGTACCAATATACAAGCTCCGGTCAGGTTTGGTTATGAGGATATGGTTGCATTTGCTCTTACGATCACTAGCGTGGATCCATGTACTTTCCAGGAGGCTGTTTCTTGTGAGAATAATGATAGATGGAAGGCTGCCATAGAAGAAGAGATGAATTCTGTACACAAGAATCAGACATGGGAGTTGGATGTTCTTCCCGAAGGGAAGAGAGCTATTGGTTGTAGGTGGATTTACACAAGGAAGTCATCGGTAACATAAAAAGGAGAGGAAAGGTTCAAGGCTCGATTGGTGGATAAAGGATACTCACAGCAAAAAGGGATTAACTATGATGAGACATTTTCCCCTGTGGTTAGACATACTTCGATCAGGGCTGTACTTGCATTGGTGGCTAGTTGGGATTTGCATTTGGAGCAGATGGATGTGAAGACTACTTTCTTGCATGGTGATCTCGCAGAGCCTACTTACATGCAGCAGCCAGAGGGCTTCGTTCAACTAGGGAAGAAGCATTTATTTTGCAGGTTGAAGAAATCCTTGTATGGCTTGAAGCAAGCATCGCGGCAGTGGAATATACGGTTTGATTCGTATATGGTGAAGATTGGCTACAAGCGTTGTGAGTTTGATTGCTGTGTTTACACTAAGAGCCTTGGTGATGGTTCTATGATTTTTCTGTTACTTTATGTTGATGACATGCTTATTGCTGCCAAGAATATGCGTGATATTGTTGATCTGAAAAGCCTTTTGAGTCAGGAATTTGAGATGAAGGATTTGGGGGCTGCGAAGAAGATTTTTAGGATGGAGATTCACAGGGACAGAGGATCGAAGAAGCTGTGGTTATCTCAGAAGGGTTATGTGGAGAAGGTGCTACAGAGGTTTGGATGAATGAAGCAAAACCGGTGAGCACTCCATTAGCAAACCACTTCAAGCTTTCTGTTGATCAGTGCCCCAAGTCGGACAAGGAGACTCAGGATATGGTAGAGATACCATATGCCAGTGCTGTTGGATGTCTGATGTATGCCATGGTATGTACTCGTCCTGATTTAGCTCATGTTGTTGGTCAAGTTTGCAAGTATATGTCTAGGCCGGGTAAACAGCATTGGGAGGCAGTCAAATGGATTTTCAGATATTTGAAAGGTACTGCGGGACATGGTATTGTGTTTGGAGATCAGCGGTTGGATCCTTTTGTTGTAGGATATGTGGATTCTGATTATGCTGGGGATTTAGATAATAGGAGATCTACCACTGGGTGTGTCTTCACTTTTGGTGGAGGGCCTATTTGTTGGAGGTCGAATACTCAGCCTATAGTTTCTCTATCTACAAATGAAGCTGGGTATATTGCTTTGGCTGAAGCGACAAAAAAAGCATTGTGGCTTGTTGGATTAGTTAGAGAGTTGGGTATTCAGCAAGGTGGAGTTCTAGTACATTGTGACAGTTAGAGTGCCATTCATTTGGCTAAGAATCAGATATATCATGCTAGGACGAAGCATATTGATATGAGGTTCCACAAGATTAGGGAATGGATTGCTTCTGGTGATATTCAGTTGGAGAAAGTTCATGCTGAAGAGAATGCTGCTGATATGTTGACTAAGACTGTTACTTCTGACAAATTCAAGCATTGCTTGGTTTTTTTGAATGTTTGGGTATGCTAGAGTTGCATGGTACCCCCGGTCTGCTTGGTGTGTCTCGCAGAGGTGCTCGCTATTGTGTTCTCCTAAGGAGGTGATATATTCGCCAAGGTGGATATTTGTTGATATGGCTCATATATTGACAAAGGAAGGAGGCAAGTTGATGCCTGCTCGCTCCACTCCGCTCACTTCGCTCGGTCGCTCCGCTTCCCTAGCTACGTTCGCTCCGCTTCCCTCGCTACGTTCGCTCCGCTTCCCTCGCTATGTTCGCTCCGTTACGATCGCAGGCATCAGCCGTTGTTGGGTTGGGTCGATTAGTTGGGCCGGGCGTATGGGGGCGGAGCCCCCGCGGTATAGACGGGGGTGCGGGGGG